AACGTATTTTTATAGAACAGCAAGAGGTCCGTGTACTTCGATGGCACGTAAATTTGGTCTTGCATGTGCAATAAGCCTTTGGACTGTTTCTAAGTCAATCTTACGAAATTTTTGCAAAATTCTTCGCCTTGGATGATCTTCATTTTAGACTTCACAACCATTATTATACACTATTTGACTCAAAACAGCCCAAAACTCTTCTATAGCCTCGCCTGAGGCACATTTGGAGGGTTGTTGTGCTTGGGAGAAAAATTTATATTTTGAGCAGTTAACCAATCTGCCGTTCTTCTGGCGTAATGGCATGGCGCTAGGTTGGACTAAAATATGATTTTATCATTGGGATTATGAGTATTTATAAATTAAACAAGCTTTGTTAGACACCTTTCAACGTAATTCTCAGCATTGAGAGCTTCACCGCGAACTCGCCCAACAAACGGATATGAAACAACCGCTTCTGAGATGGGATATCATACCAAAATTTTAGCGGCAAATTTCACTTTACCTTTCGGTCGTTGACCTTTATTTCAAAGTTGAATAAAGGAAAATACTTTTCATCATCAATAATGAAAATTTTAGCAGGAAAATTAATTCGTCTCAATGCACGCAACATCTAGGGAATTTTTTTTGACTGGACTGGTGAGTACTTGGGAGCTTTTTTCTTTTATATCGTTTTAAATTATTTCTAGAAATTGTTCTACTTACAGTCATTTGTGAAACATTATAATATCTGCGGCCAGCATATCGCAAAGACTTTCCTAATTGGTTCTCCATATTCTGAATTATTCTCTGTTCCCGAATAGGAGTTAAACCTCTTAGTCTTCCAGTCTCTGGGCAAATTAGGGCATGGTATACCAGTTTCGTACTCTTTGATTGTCTGGTAAATCGTTGACACAGAAATACTTTAAGCACTAAAAATTCTTACAATATCTCGTTTTGGTACATGTCCAATTAAACGATAAATAATATGACGAATATTAAATTTGTACGACATCTTAATGAATCGTATTGGTTAAAACTGATATTGTTTATATCGCTGAAGTTGTTTACTAACTTCGGTTTTCAATGGCAACTTCATCCAATGCTTCATATTAATAATACTTTTAAATTTAAAATTTTCCGAAAACTTTAGGACATATACGTTATAATTCTTCACTAAGAAGAGCCAGAAAATAATCTAAACTAATATAACTCCAAAATACAAAATAAAAAGTACCAATGAGTCAGAACAAAAAAACTGTGTTATTGATATTATAAGTTTCTTTGTAACCCTTGGCTCGTACTTCCTGATAGTAGGCGATTGGAATTGTAATGACAAAAATACTGGCAAATAACAACAAAATTCCGTATTTTCTTGATTTTGCAATATTTAAAGGTTTACCTAATACGCAGTTAAAAATAAAGCCTAGTTTTGACCTAAGTTCGGACCATAGCACCAGAATAATATCATTAGGGACAACTATATAGTAGGCATGATAGATGTACAAGAGTTATCCATATGGATCTTTAATGTAGTGGTTTCACCATGCTTTCTACATCCTTACGCCATTGACCTAGTTCTCGGTTCATCCGCCTTTAGGCCCAGTTTCCCAACCCTAGGACAAAAGAGTGCCCTACCACTTACCAACTCATCCGTCCGAAGCTGTTGGTAGGTAAGTGGGGGATTGCTTATACCGGCAATCACTCGAACGTCAAAGCCTCGTTTGTTATCTAGCAAGATGCACGGGATGACCAGAATCAAGATCATCATGCGTGCAGGTGAGATTGACATTTGACAATTTGATATGCGTACACATTATACCCGTAAGTTTTGTAATTTAACGGCACAAAACTAAACACATCAGTTTAATAGAAAAAACAAAATGTGAAACTTACCAGAGTTTTCGTCAAACAATGCCACAATGGCAGTCGACGAATACTGATAGGACACTGAATTCGTCGATATAGTAGGATGAGCGGGAGGAAAAATCGCATAGTTGAAAAGAGACACATATAGGTTTCTCGCTCACTATTTCATCTTTCTCGCTTTCTGTCAAGGTCATTGACTAGAGTAATAGGTTTTATGTCTATATCAGACTAAAACTCAAAATTAGAAATTTTTGATTTGTGCCTTTACTTTACTATAATTATAATTATATAATATTTTAATAATTTACTATGATATAGTAAGGGTGAGATATGTGAAATATTTTTTGTATGTCCTTTTTATCAGTCTTCGTATTGATTTAGATTATTCTTCGACTTAGCATATATTTTAACTCGTTTTATGTGAAATCAATATCAATCTAACGGAAATTAATAAAAGTATACACAGAAGTATTTATACTAAGCTTAAATCTATACTCCATTATTCAGTTAACAATTCAGCACAGGATAACTTTTTATTATTAAATTTGTCAAAAGCAAAAAGATTTCCTTAACTTTTGATTCTGATTATAAATCAGATCTCCTCTAAAATGAAATTTCCATAATAATTAAAATGGATACAAGTCTTCTCCTTTCGCCAAATTGTCTTACTAGATAAAGTTGCCATTGTGCATTTGGCAAAGCACAAATTACAAAACCAATTCAGTTTTACAGAGTTATAATAAAAGTCAGCTTAAAACGAAGTTTAAACAGAAATTTTAAAGCTCCCGCTCCACTTTATATTCACGAATAAAATTAAAATGGTTTTGTTGTACACTTCACAAACGAAACACAAAAATAGATTTTTGTTCGCTTTGATATCTCGCTTAATAACTTTGACTTGATTACATTCCAAATAGGAATTTTTCAGTTATATAGTTAAATCAACGGTAGTATAACATTCCTCTTTTTTTTACTTGCAGTGAACTAATCGAACGCTGGCTTCCGCTGCGCTGGTAGCACAACAAACTAAGCGGGGATCTAACCTACCTTTGGCGACACATGACACACCTTTTTTTTAACGGAGTTGTGGGGAGTGTGAGAAACGTCAATTAAATGATGCACGAGCTAAGAAGTAGTGGACTACTAAGGAGCAGGGGGAAAAGAAGGTGACTTATGTGTGTGATTGATAAGAATCGATAAGAACGCACAAGAAGAAGTGGGATCTGCCTAGCATGCCAGTTGAGGTACTTCAGGGGTCACCAGCCATACAGTAGGAACGGCTCTTTATCAGCGTTTTTGGCGCGCAGTCTTTATCTGCGATAGTAGATGGGGAATGTTTCAATAATTTCAAAATACTCATCAGGAAGTTCAGGTCCAGTGTTATGTAGAAGTTTTGCTAAAGATAACGGAACTTTCTTAGTGGAATACCTGGTGAGTATTTGTCCTCTATGATTGCAAGGCGTCTTTAAGGTTCATTTTGCTCGGTTGTTCGAGCCAGCTTTGGTTCTTAGGACATACTTCCTGCTGAGGGTTAGGATTGTGTCCTTGATTGGCGTGATGTTGGCCAATATGTGTATGTGGGCTGATGGATACGACCAATCTTTTCTCATACAGTATCTATACCTTTGGCAAGCATCTTTTCCGAGTATGACTCTTTCGAATAGCTCATCGTCAAATTTGATTTAAACTGTTTGAAAAAAGCACAAATTGTACAGCAACGGTCCAAATACAGGGTTGGTCAATGCAGAAAAAACGTAATAATTAAGAAGTTTGCTGTAAGAAGGATGCAGCTGCATATTTAGACCGTTTTAGGTGGTAACATATGCCATAATTAAAAAAAATTGGCGAATTAACTGGTATAAGAACGATGCAGATCCGATAATAAATAAAGGAATTATACGTCTTTATGGATCTGTCTCCTCACTCGTTTGGTGCAAAAAGGGTGCAGTTTCGGACCTGCATCTTTTTTGCACCAAACGATTGTGAATATTTGGTGATTTTCGTGGAATGCAACGTCATCTTCTGTTGGTGCTGGGCCGGCAGGGCAGCTGATTTGTTTTGACCTGTTGGTCGCTATCATTACTGCGTGGTGTGCGTTTTTATGCGGTTTAATTGTCCGTGTAAAAATTTAACGTAGTGTAAAAATGAGTCAAACCAAGTGAGATCCGTTTAGCGCTAGTGAGTCAGACTATGAACCTACAATCTCTGACGAAAGTTGTTTTAATTGCGATGTCGCAGGACCGTCAGCTAGGAGGAAGTATCTAAAGAAAAAACGTACCTCTGTAAAAAAACAACACGTTGAACTTGTTGTAAACATGGAGCCCACGGAAGAGCCCCCAGTTGTTCCTTTAACCAAAAATAGAAAAAGTGCCAACCCCACTTTCTGGAAAAGAAATATAAAAAACAGCTATTACAGAAGGGAAAATGTATACGAACTGAAAGAAATACAGAAGGGACCGAGATTAACTGAATCGAACTACAACTGCAGGTACAAGTGTTTTCAGAATGTGGACGAAGAAACAAGAAAAGTTGTCTTACAAAAGTTGAACAGAATGTACATACTATTCAAAGAATTTGAAAGAAGACTAATAAAAGGCAAGATAGCACTTGTTCCCACAAAAACTTTATAAAGCTGGGTCAGCTATTAAAACGAGTTTGTAGACATGCTTTTGGTTCAATCCACGGCATGTCAAGGAAACGTGTAGATCTCATTGCTCAATATTTTCGTGACAGAGATATTGCAGCGCTACGTAGTAACAAAGGAAAGCATACAAATAGACTCAATCGAAAATATAACAAAACACTCAAAAAATGTGAACATGCACATCCAGAGTTTTCCAAGGCGTGAATTGCATTATAATTGAAACAAATCCTGTCGATTCTATTTATCTCCAGATCCAAATGTAAAGAATATGTATCGACTCTATTTGGATCTTTACGAACCAAGAAAGTGTTAGCAATCCTAAATATAAACCCAAAATTTCCTATGACTTCTACTATCGATACTTTAAAGAAAACTTCTAGGTTTGGCTCACCTCGATCAGATACGTGCAAAAAATGTAATGTCTTACTGACATCACATTTACACTGTGAACTCAAAGATGTGACCCTGAATGAAAATTAACTAAAAGTTTTATTAGCGGAAAAGAAGTTGCATGAAGGCCGATTTATTTTTCAATGAGCTAAAGGAGAAAACCACATTGTGCAAGCATAGCGACGAAGTGGAGGTTCTGACCTTTGACTTCCAACAAAACCTTCCACTTCCAAAAATTCCTACTGGAGAAGCTTTCTTCAAATGCTCGTCGTGGACATATAACTTCTGCGTCCATTTTGGTAAGACAAATCAAGTACACTTTTATATGTATGAGGAAGCTACGGCTCGAAAGTCACCAATATCATCATCATCATCAATAGCGCTACAACTCTTCGCGAGTTTTTGCCGCGTTTAATATTGCCTTCCATGTTTGTCGGTCCTGTGCCAGTAATTTCCATTGTCGCACTCCCATTTCTAGATCTTCTTTGACTGCATCTTTCCACCTTTTTCTAGACCGCCCTACAGACCTTCTTCCATCAGGCCTTTCCCAGAACACATTGTTTATAAAGCGATTGTCGTTACTGCGTATCACATGCCCTGCCCATCTAGTCTATTGACTTTATATATCTGACTAGATTTTCTTTTCGAATAGAGACTCTAGCTCGTTATTGTATCTGCTCCTCCATTCGTTTGTCACGCTGTTTCTGCAAGGGCCATATATCATTCGAAGAATGTTACGTTCCCACACCAGCAATTTATTTACTTCTCTTTTTGTTAGCGTCCAAGTTTCGCTTCCATACGCGACTGCTGGTCGTATTATGGTCTTATATATCCGGATTTTTGTACCTCGTGAAAGAAGTTTTGACTTCATTAGATGTTGCATTGCAAAGAAAGATCTGTTTTCTGCCATTATTCTCGTTTCAACTTCTCGCGCTCTAATTTGTTGTCATTTGTGATTGTTGCTCCTAGATATTTAAATTCTTTAACCACTTCGAAGTTGTGATCATTTATAGTAATGTTTTGCCTTATTCGCCGTCGTTCTTGTTTTGAGACGACCATGTATTTTGTTTTGTCTTCATTTATTTTTAGACCGATGTTTAATGCAGCTTCTTCAAAGCTCGAGAAAATATCCTTAATTTCTAATGTTGATTGTGCTACTGCGTCTACGTCATCGGCAAAGGCGAGTATGATTTTTGCTCCCCGAGCAGTTATGTCTGGTTTGATTTTTGGATATATTTTTCGCATGACATATTCTAAGGTCAGGTTAAACAACAATGGGGACAACGGATCTCCCTGTCTCAGTCTAGAATTTACGCAGAAAGCATTTGATATTTTTATCCCATTTTAACTTGTGCAAAAGAGTTACTTACTACAGCTACCGGCAGCCTTACTGTTACCGCAGCTAGTTTCTTGGGTACGCCGAGCTCGATCATTGCCTTCCATAATGTTGCACGATTAATTGAATCATAAGCCTGTTTGAAGTCTATAAAAATCTGATGCACGTCGTGATTATATTCCCAATACTTTTCAAGCATTTGTCTTATTGTAAATATTTGATCAATAGTCGATCTGTCAGGATTGAAACCACACTGGTAGTCACCAACTATTTCTTCCACGTATGGTACTAATCTTTTTAATAATATCGAAGCCAATATTTTATATGTAGAGTTGATAAGTCAGATTCCTCTGTAATTTATGCATCATTCCTTTTTTCCTTTCTTGTGTATTGGTACAATAATAATACAACTTCTCTACACAATCATCCAAACAGTTTATTTCCATTCTGGTAAAACAAAATATGATGCTGAACTTTAGTGGTCACTATGTCGGACATTTTAAGAAAGTTGTCTCAGATGCAGAAAAGCCAAGGTTCCAGATTTCCAAATACCAAAGTTTCCAGAATTCTATACCTGTCAAAAAAGCCAAATATGCAGATGTAATGCAGTTGGCAATACGATTCATTCCTATGGATCAAATGGCTTTTTACACCCGTCTCACAAGTGATGCAGCCATGGTAGAGAACCAGAAAACCGAATCATCTCGAACGGAATAAAGATTTTTTTTGACAGCAACCTGTTTCTTTTTACAGATTTTTTCTTATTTGTGTAGTTGGCAAATCATAGTCGTTTGATTGTTGTAACCAAATGAAAGAGTTTTTGTTGGGAATTTGGTTTCTTTTTTCAAAAATCATGGTGAAGAAGCATTATTTCACGTGTTAAAGAAGTCTTAAGTATTAACTAAATCTGTTTCTGTTCGTTAATTTTCATTATTAACTAATTCTGTCATCGATTGATATTATGTCTTTAGGGTTGAAATAAAAACTTGTATTAAAAAACAATTTTTTTCAATTTCCCAACAATTACCAAATATGGAGCTGTATCCTTCTTACAGCAAACTCCTCAATTTATACCGTCTTATCTGAATTTACACTCGACTTTAATATGACGACCCGACAAATGTTAAATGCTATACATCATAATATGAAAATGAACAAACCCTAAGTTATTAGACAATAATTGAACGCCTCAATGACAGACAACATAAAATTCCTTAATATAAAAAAACTTAATTTCAGTATTACATACCCACATTAATTATTATAAAAATACTAAATATTGGTTTAGGGAGAGCATTTCCTTAAAATTTAATTATAAATATATTTCAGGTATTAGCGTCATATAAACTTGGTAATATAAATAAATAATTACATAGGTACCTAAATACATAATTTGTCTTCCTCCGAAAAGGAGGCATTATCATCAGTTTCTTCATTTCACCCAAAAATAATATTTGGTTCTATAGTTTTCTCTATTAACATATCGACTTTCCCGAATATTTCTTTCTCTGTTATAGCACATCTTATAGGTTCCTGCCAATTTTTCTTCTTTCTTCTACTTTTCTTCTTCTTTTTATATAGACATGACTCTGTCGGTTTTTCAATGTGCCTCCAGCAATTTGTCGTACCATTATTTTCGTGGTCTTTCTACTGATCGTCTACCTCTTGGGGAACCGACTCTTCACTACTTTTGGGGAATCGTCTTCACTACTCTATTTGTTGTCATTCGGCTTATATGATCATTCATAATAGGTTCGGTTAGTTCTTCTTCTACTTTTACTATGATTGTGTTGTTTTGGTAGATATTTTTAATGGTTTTGATTATTCCTAGATGTAACTCTGTATCGGTACAGTCTTTTAATTTGACCCGGTTAAATGCTTTCTTAAATATATAAATAAATTAAATAAATTAATAATAATAAATTAATTCCTCTGCAATTTTCCGAGTCCGTCCGATTTGTCTCCCTTTTTGAAGATTGTTTGGTCTTAATTCTTGGAGAATTTTGTTTTTTTTTTATTATTAGGATTAGTTTTAATAGTTGTTTGGTCAGACTTTCCAATGTGTGATGAAATTTTTTATATAAAGTCAGATAATAGTTTTGATGAACGTCTTTTAAGTGTATTATTTCTGGCAACAAATCCCTTCATTTGATCCCAAATTAGTTCCTATGAGATTTAGTTCTCAGTAATAAGATGGTAATCGCAACACTTTAAGTCCAATTTTTTTTGCTGTTTCTTCAACATGATACTTTTTAAATTTAGCACCACATCTCGAAAGCTTCGATGTTTTTTATGGTCAACTGTTTTAGTGTCCAAGTCTCAACTCCATATAACAGGGTAGAAAAGACATAACACCGCAGCATTCGTATTCGTAACTTTATATTGATATCACGATTGCAAAAGAGTTTGCGCATTCTATTAAAGACTGATCTAGCGATTTCTATTCTACAGCTAATCTCTTTTGTTTGATCAGTATCGTCTGTGATCCAAGCACCTATATATTTATAACAGGGCACACGCTCAATCGTTGTATTGTCTATTACAAGATTAGCTCTAATGTTCTTTGATTTCGTGATAAATTTCTTGGTTCATGTCTAAGCATCTCTGTGAGAGAACGTTCATTGCAAACAGAGCCTCCCTTGTACCCAGCCCTTTTCTGAATCCCATCTGAGTGTTACTGATGTCTACGTCTAATTTCTTATAGATCCTATTATGGATTATTTTTAAGAACAGTTTTAGAGCATGACTCATCAAAGCAAATACGATATTCGTTGCATTCAAGCGAAAAGCATTCTTTATCTTCCTTTTAAAGCTGTGCTGTGTATTAAATACCTAAGTTTTAACCTAATTACTTTAGATTAGATTAGATTAGATTATGTGAGGTCGTTAAGGCCATGTGGCCTCACCGCACTTCCACCTATAGAGATCTTTTGTGCATACCTTAATCTAGTTAAACTCTAGAATACCAATACTACTAATGAAATTGATTAGACTTCCTAGGTGACTTGTTTCCTTTGTCAGAGGACGCCAGACTGACCTCTCCTAAGAATTTTAGTCGTTTGCAGAACAGTGCTATGCAGTTGCATAGTATATGTTCTGCCGTTTCTTTTTCATTGTGACAGAAACGACAGTTTCTACTGTCTGATTTGCCATCTTTTTGAGATGATATCCCAGAGGGCAGTGACCAGTGAGAAGGCCAGTGACCATTTTGATATCTTTTTTTTTTCATTTCGAGAAGGCGGTTTATTGCAGTAGGCGACACTTTTATGATGCTTCCCTTGGTGTTAGTGTGTTAGACCAATATGATCTTAGTTGATTGAGTTCCCAGATACGGAGTTCCTCTTTGATGTGGCTTTTCGATAGTCCATAGAAGGGTTCCGGACCCTGGAATGGGGTATTAGCTCCTTCTTTTGCGAGGCTCTCAGCTTCCTCATTTCCTGCAATTCCCTTGTGACCTGGCACACACATCAGAGTTACATTGTTACGTTCCGCCAGCTTCTTGAGAGATTGTTTACAGTCCCAAATCAACTTTGACTCATATGTAAATGACTTTAGAGCCTTTAAGGCGGCTTGGCTGTCTGATAAAATAAATACTTTTGCCCTACGGGTGTCTCGGTTGAGACACTCTTGGGCACTTATGTCTGTAGCATGTATTTCTGCCTGGAAGGTAGTTGGGGCGTTTCCAAGAGATTTAGATAGCCTGAAATTGGGCCCAGTAACTCCCACTCCTGCTCTTTCATCTATCTTAGATCCATCCGTATACCATACGAGTAAACCTTCTTCCACTTTTGGTTCAATTTCTTCACCCATTTGGTGGTTTTTTATGACCACTTCAAAGCATAGCATCTGGCATTAACTGTCATAGCATCTGTCGGCATGTCCTTAGAATCCAATGGAGTTTTTTCTAAGATTTTCAGGTGGCCAACTAGATCTCCAGGTTTCATTATTTGTGTCTATCGCAGT